CAATTTGCGCGATATCCACGAAGATATTCATTTTAGCAAGTACGAGTGAGTAAAAGAGAAAGAGAGAGAGGAGAGAGAGAGAGACAGAGAGAGAGAGAGAGAGGAAACGCGAATTCATGTCATCCTCTCTCTAGTACGATCTATCTCAGCTCGTACGATAATGAAATCCTCGCTGACGTTTTTGGCGCGATTCGATATTCTCGAACAAACGTAGAAATTTACGACAAGTCCGGATTCAATCGTAGTCAACGTGTCGTCTCGATCGTTCGGCTACAAATTCGCAATGCATTAAATTATCACAGCTTTGTTCACTTTCTCTCTCTTTCTTCCTACGTACGCTTGCGTATTGTACGTGCATGTACATTTATCTATTTCTCTCCAATCTTTCGTGTTTCTATTAACGAACGAATCGAAATTTAATGGCGAACAATCGAATTTTTGACGAATGAAAATAGAAATTTCATTGGCTCGTATTATAAACCAACAACGGTACTAATTTAAAACGCGTCGCGAAAGATTTCTCGAAAAACGTTTCTACATCTTCGAACGAAATTGGACTTTTCCTTTGTCTTCTTTTCCTTTTTTCTTTCTGTTCTTTTTTTTCTCTCTCTCTTTTTTTTTCTTTTCCTTTTCTTTTTTTTTCATAACGTAAGTAGAAAAGTTCAGGACGGATCGTCGATACGTGGACTATTAGTCATAGGATATTGATGGTATATCTTTACTTTGTAAGGATGTATCGTTGAAAATACACGTCGTTCCATAAATCAAACTAAATGCATATTTCGGAAGGTTATACATATTTATGTATTTATAACATATATATATATATATATATATATATATATATATATATATATATAAATTTACTTTTTACTAATTACTTTATTATTTACGTAATAACATAACATAAAAACACATATATATTTATACATAAACATATACGTTTAATTGTTTAACTCTTTGACGATTGAACGAACCAATATATTTTTTTTTTTTTTTTCATAAGAAAAATACGATTGAACGAACCAATATATTTTTTTTTTTTTTTCATAAGAAAAATACGCATCACTACGAAGACGTAGACGAGATTCAAAAATAAAATTATCGTATCTTGACTGGGATGTACGACGTTTGTATAGAAAAGGAAGGAGAAAGATCGTGTCAGAACGGTTAACTTCAACAAATCTTGCCGATATGAACATTCGATTCACGTAGCAAAGATCGACAAGTAATCATATTTTCCAAAAGCTGTACGAGGCTTTGCGACTTGTGAGAATCAATGTGAAACGTGCACGAAGTAACTCAATTTTTTCGTCGATACATTCAACGTCATAACGCAAAAACATAATTGCAATCGAGTTAAGAAACAATATATCAAATATCTACGCATATTAATTTGAATAAAATAAAAGGACGTTATATAGCGACGTTAATTCTCTTCGATTTGTTTTTCCCCCTTTTTTTTTTATTTTTTTTTTTTTTTGTTTTTTTCTTTCTTTAGAAATTTAATCGCAAAAAATTAGAAAATTAAAAAGAGAAAGATTGACAACAGTGAATTATTCTTTACATGATACAATCATTTAAGAACGAGAAAACGTCATTGATCATTCAACGTCAAATGGCATTACTCGGAATGAACGGCGACGCCGGGCATCGTAAAAATTTAACGCGATAACTTTGGATCGTAACTCGTCAATGAGATGAGTTAGTTGATGATACTGTCCTGTACGGAAGAAAACGATTTTCCTTCGTCTAAATTCGCCCGTTGATTCTAATCGTGGGTTTGATGTTGCCGTGGAAATTTACGTCCTCCTCGGAGGTTTGGACTTTCAACGAAGGGAAGGACCATCACGAATGTTACCGGAGATTCACCGGAATAATTTTAACCACAAATGTCGTGTAGACGATTCGTCGAATCGGAAGTGGAGAAACCCGAATACTTGGAAGAAGGGTGAAAGAAGGATGGATACAGGGATAGAAGGGTAAAAGGGGAAAGGGGAAAGGGGGAGTGGGGGAGAAGGTTGACAAGAGCCGCTAGTAGGAGGAAGGGAAGACTCTCCTTTGCAGTTAGTTGTCGTCAGTAGCAGGCTGTACTCTAATTAACGGCGAGTAACAAGGGTACCCGAGAGAGATGGAGAGTCGTTCTATAACTCGTGCGAGAGAGTGAAACGCAGACACGACCTCGTAGTCATATAAAAGTATGAGAGAAGAAGAAGAAGAAGAAAAAGAAAAAGAAGAAGAAAAAGAAGGGAAAAGAGAAAGAGAGAAAGTAAGAGAAGATAGCTCAAAGATAAGTTTAAAGAAGGAAAGCTTTACAGTGCCGATATCGATTCGTATCAAAACTCATCTATTCAATTTCTAAATATTTTTAATTAATTAACGTAAACCGAGATAAGTTTTGGCTTCGTTTAATTTCTATTTTAAAGTTCATTACGTATAATCGTTAAAAATCAGGACGATTACGATCTATTATCAAGATCGATCACCAGTGTCATTGTATAAAGAAATTTATGAAAGTTAAGAAAAAGTAACGATTGATGTATCACAATGAACGGGGGGAAAAAAAAATATATATATATAAATATGCATTGGAGTTATTTTATTAATTCATTACTTTTTTTTTTTTTTTTTTTTTTTTCCTTTGAAACAAAGTTACCCATAGACTTTGTAGTAACTCGTATAGTTTTTCAATATTACCTATACTACGTCAGGATAAATCGAATTTTGGCAACTCGAAAAGCTCCAATAATTTTTACACGCAAGCCTCTTCTTGAAAGAACTTCCGTTTCGGTCGAATAAGTTGAGACCGTAAAAAGTAAGAGGAACAAGCTGCTCGTAAAGCTGTAACAAGAATCGGCCTGGATCAAGAGAAAACGGATGTTGCAGCTGTTTCCTGTCGCACGTAAGTTCCCAATAGAGAAGCTTTCGTGTCTTTCGAAAAGCTGCAACGTTTTTCTCCGTAGTTCTCCTTTTTCTTTCAATCTATGCTGGATTACTGGTTTCTCTTTCTCTTTAGAACTTCCGATCTCGGATTGCAGCTTTGAAAATAGGATTCCGAAAATATTGATACATTAAATATTTTATCTAGAAGCTTACAAACCAATAAAGATGTCATTCGTTTTCCAACGAAGTAGGTACCAACATAAGTACATGTATATTAGTATAAATATAACTGCTTGTATGTAGTAACATTTATATATACATACATATATATATACATATATATATATATTTATTTATATATATGTGTGTATGTGTATTCCTATCGTATATAAGTTTTCGTTCAAACATTTCCAAAAGCTCCAACATTGCTTCATCCTTTTTCCTTTTTATATATAGGTACATACATAACATAGATACATGCACATACATAAACGAGCGCATCGTCAATGTGTAAAGAATATATAGAAATCGAAAATGTTCGTCGAGAATGAATAAACAAGATGAACCGTGATGTTTGCTTTTGTCACGGCTACGCTACAGGAAATGTACGAAAGAGCTTCTATTTGATACATAGTCCTTTCAATACGTCATCACTTTTGCCAATTCATGAATATTTTTCTACGTGTTTTGCCATCCGGTCCATCGGATTTCTTTTTGTCAAAACCGCGTTTCGTGGACTACCGATCGATCCGTTGCTCCGTTG